GATATATAATCCGGTGTTCTTATAGATATTTTTATTTTTAAAATATAGAACTGTGTAGCGAAAAAATAGTGCTCAATGTTAGAACTGTGTAGCGAAAAAAAAAAAAATTTTAAATCAATTAATTTATAATATATATATATATATATATATATATATATATATATAAAAAGAACAGTAAGATATATAATCCGGTGTTCTTATAGATTTTTTTATTTTTACAAAATAGTGCTCAATGTTAGAACTGTGTAGCGAAAAAAAACATATTTTAAATCAATTAATTTATAATATATATCATACTTATTATAAAACCCAGGTTGTGTGTGTGTGTGTGTGTGTGTGTGTCTGTACGTTTATACGTTTATATATTGGATCGGATTTTCTACATTTTTCAATCGATTTCAACAAAACTTCACAGGACTACGTAAAATTACCTTGCAGTGGTTCTGACAGTGCCAAAATTGGGAAAAACACAATTGTTTTTGCACGAAATCAATTTGAAAACACGATTAAGAGTCATCACTGTTTCGAGAATGAAAGGGGGACAATTCATATCGAGTTATACTTATAAAACCCAGGTTGTTGTGTGTGTGTGTGTGTTAGTTTATATATGGGATCAGATTTCCTACATTTTTCAACCGATTTCAACAAAACTTCATTTTTTTTGGCAGGTAGTATTTTTTATTGTCTTGCACACTTATTTCTTTATTTTTACATTCAGAATGCTTTAAAAATTCCATTTACAAGACAATTGTTTATAATAAAATTGAAAAATTCTATTCAATCGGTAGACTCATAACAATTGAAAACAATGTTTTTGTTTGAGTTTGGGTTTGACCAATTCGTAAAAAAAAAACTAATTAAGACATGCGTGTCCGTCAACCTTAAACAATAATCTTTGTCAATTTTATTTTTCAGTCTTTATGATGGTCGATACTTGATCTATCTCTTACTGTTACATCCCCGGGCAACGCCGGGCTCTACTGCTAGTATTTATATATATATATATATATATATATATATATATATATATATATATGTATGTATGTATATATCACTCATTTCGCAAGCTGGATATCAACGAAAACTATATGAAAGTCACTGAGTATATATATGATAATGATAAATTTATAATATATGGCGACAGATGAGATGGTTGAAAAAGAAATGAGTGAAATGGATATGAATTTACCTCCGTTATTTACCTTCAACCTTTAAAGAACAATTGAAAAAAAAAATAATGAAAGAAAAATTGTTACCGATAAAATTTTTATAGTTGAAAACCCTGTAATTAATTTGAAAGATTCTTGAAGATTTAACATTTAAGAAAACTGAAAATAAATATTTGAGAATAAATAAATGAGATTTGAACACGGGGGAAATGTTAAAATAAAATTTAAAATATAGTTATATAATAGAAGAAAATAAAAAAGAAAGTTATGTTAAGAAAAATAAGTAGTGTATATTTGGAGAAAACGGCTTACATATAATTCCAATTATAATTTATATTAATATTATTTATGCGTTAGTGAAATATGGAATTAAAATTTAAAATTCTAAAGATGGGGGAAGAAAGGAAGTAAATTGACAAAATGATTATAAATGATTGAATATTATTGAATAATTTAGGAAATCACGAAGAAGGTTTTTTTATAACATTATCTTTTCTAAGTTGGTTCCTTGCTTTTGTTTAGAGGCATATCAAGACCTCTATGAGTCATTTAATGCCGAAATCTAAATATTTTGTACGCAATTTTATTTTAATTTTTGGAAATAATAATAGCGATACAATCTTACTCGTTAACCCATAGCTGGGGATAAAAAAGCTGGATTCATACCTTTCCCAAGGATATTATGCTCGTAAGTGAATATAAAAATCTCAGCTGGAACTGGAATTCGGAGAGTCGAGTTCTAATTCAGAGCCATTATCCATTACACCACATGCACATCCAAGTTTTTAGCACCTGTTATTTCCAAGTGGGACCCCCATATAAGTACTGACCAGAATCGACGTTGCTTAACTTCAGTGAACGTATAGGAACAGACGTTTTATCGTGATGTGGTCATAAGCCCTTTGATACCTAAGATAACTTAAAGAAAATCATATAAATAGTTACCGTATTTTCTGGTTTACAAAACGCTTCGGATTGGAAGACGCACCCTAATACCGGAAAGAATTTTCTTAGAAAAAAAGTCCTCATACAACAACACATTCACCATGCGTCCGTCACATATTGGCGCCACGTATTGTTTACATTAATCACTCGTCCGATTTTGTTTGTATGCCAATGAGATACTCGTCAAGAGCAGAAAGGCCCCCTGCCGCTGCTAGTAAACAGAGCATGTTTAAGCTTGTGGCTCGGCCCCAGGAAGGTCTATAGTCTTGGAAATACTTGTAACAGCTAAGTACTGAGATTACATCATATAAAAGACTGAATTATATAAGTAGCTAATATTATAGTGAAATAACTCAACATATAAATCCACTTCCTATCAGTCAAGCCAATTAGGTGACCGTCCAAGCTTATTTGAGCCTGGGGGTTGCCTTACGTTCGTTTTGGAAGATGCACATGTAATTTTCAGGGTATTTTTTAGGAATAAAAGTGCGTCTTGCAAGCCGGAAAATACGGTACTGGTTAAATATGTTTACGAAATATAAATTTATTTTATTATTTTTAATTTATTTTATATTTCTGATTTACAGGGTATCCCATAATGATGGGAGACATTTTAAATGCAACTATCTTGGATTTTGAACATATTATCTAAGATTTGAATATTACATCCCTGAGATGGTCACCATTTCAAATAGAACATACACAAGCTCACTCTCTCATTTCAAACACAGTAGAGAGAGAGAGAGAGAGAGAGAGAGAGAGAGAGAGAGAGAGAGAGAGAGACCTGAAAATCATCATGTGAATGTGAAAAAACAGCTTACCTGATTTGTGGTGAGATCCCATTCAGAAACAGAACCTGAATGTTTTACTAAAATAGGAACATCATGGTCAGCCACTGCTGGGGGCATAGCAATTTGTGAGCTGACCTTTAAGTGAATTGTAGTTGATTTGCCTGGTAAAGAAAAGCAAAAAAATATAAGTATAAATAGAGACATATATAGCAATGGGAAAAAAAAAATAATATCTATGCAACATCCTCATTCAGTAATCTACCTTGGGTGGCTCTTGAGCCTTGTATTGGGTGAGTATTTATTACAGGGTTTCCCAATCTGACCAATATTGCCCACTGGTGGGTGATTTCAATTGTTGGGTGGGTGATGAACAACTGAACACAATCATATACAAAATGATGTCAGTCTTTTAGACACTTTGTATTATATATATATATATATATATATATATATATATATATATATATATATATATGAATACCGATACGATACTGATACTGATACGATACTGTTTCATGCTAGACGCAATCGTCAGGCCTGACGATTGCGTCTAGTATGAAACAGCTTATCGTCTCTGAGTGTTGACTTCAATGTTCACTTTTATATTTATATTTACATACACTGTATCTCTGATAGTGAGCCCTTTATCCCATAAATATAACCTTAAAACTATATTTCTTCATATTAAAATATATATATATATATATATATATATATATATATATATATATATATATATGGTGTCCCATAATGATGTAACACATTTTAAATGGGAGTATCTTGGATTATAAAAATATCATAGAGTACCAAATATATTTATTACTGCCGTAGAACAAGACTCGGTGTACTTCCTGCTCTCCCCTACTACTGTAACAATGGACTGCTCCGACTTATAAATATGGTAAGTATCCACATTAGAGTAGGATTTGAGGAGCAGTTGATTTACTCCAGTTTTTCTGTTCTGTTTATGGATATTTAATAAACCTTCTCTTGTTTTCCCTATCTAGTCTTCTGTTCCTTCGATACTCGCTGTAACTGCGGCCTTCTTAATTTTTCCCTATTTTGAACACTTATTTTAAGACAACATTTAACACTTACATAACTGATATACAAGAGTTCAACATATTATCCAAAATTTGAATATTGCATCCCTGGGTTGGTCACCACCACGACGAGAACATGCACGAGCTCGCTCTCTCATTTCCAACACAGACATTATGAGGGTTCACTGTCAACAAAAGAGATCAGATACCTTTAGGATATGTTGAACTCTTGTATATACGTTATGTAATAAATATAACACACATATATATATATATATATATATATATATATATATATATATATATATATATATATATATATATATATATTCTCCTAAAATTCTCTCTGTTAAGGTTTAATTTCTCTCCTTCTCTCGTCTGTTACCTCTCTCTTTAGCCCTAATATTCGTCCCACACTCTCATACTTACACTCTCTCTAAATTCTGTTTTTGTTTACGGAGTTGTTTTTTCTGTTTTCTTTCTGAATTTGTAGGTCTTATGAATTGGATCGTATTTACGATTCCAATGGAATAAATTATGACTATGGAATATTAGTGTTTAAGCCTTTTTATTATATCCTTACTCTGTCCTGGACATTGAGTTCTAATTGGATTCTATCCTCTTGGAATTTTTTATTCAAAAAATATACATGTATGTGTATGCACCTATGTATATATATTTATATATTTTGCATATGTATGTGTATATTTACCACTAATATTATCTCTCTCTCTCTCTCTCTCTCTCCATATATATATATATATATATATATATATATATATATATATATATATATATATATATATAATCCAACATTATGGAATACCCTGTATTTATTCCACCTTTGTGGTACCTTTATTTTTCCCTTATGATTGATCTATTTTTAGGCTTTATACATCCTTTTCTTATGTTATTCTTCAGTTAATTTTTGCATGCCTTCTACATCTGTGTTCTGTAGTTTTTCGATATCTGCGCACTTCTTATTGAGGTATTTTCAAAAACATTTTTGTTGAGAATGTTGTGACTATATGCATGTATTGTGATTTTTTGCTATGCCAGTTTCTTCTTTTTCCAAGTATCTTTTCTTCACGCGTCACCTTTTTTTCGTGTCATTGTTTTTTAAATTATCCCGTCGTTCTTCTTTTAAATTACGAAATATATTTCGTAAGTTTATGGTTAAATTCCCGTCATAGCACAAAACACACAGCGTACATATAGTCTGAAGGTTATTATAGACAGCGGGAACTTCACCTTCACTCCTGGCTATGGCAACCTTTGGAACATGTATAATGTACGTATATAATGGACGTATATAAAAAATATATGCATTACATGTTTTCGAAGCTCGCAAAATTCGACTGTTTTTTTTATAAAAATATAAGATTTTAGTTAACTAAAATAAATATAAAGCAAGACAAATTATGAAATATTCCTACATAAATAACAAAACAAAATATTGAAAAATTTGTTAATTTTATGAAAATATAGCAGAAACAAAAAAATAAAATATAAAATTAAAATCCAATATATATATATATATATATATATATATATATATATATATATATGTGTAGAAAATATACTGAAAAAACAAAACAAAATTCTAATATGCAATTATGCTGTTTTAATATTTAATATCAACGTCGGACGTTTCGGTCTAATAGACCATCTTCAGGACATATTCATAAAACATAATTAACATAGACCATATACAATTCAACATGAAAAAGACGATGGACATAAAAGCAATACCAATCCAAACAGATAACTGAAATCTTTTATAAGATCAGCGTTCCGTTTAAATATGATCACGTCGTCGTCACGTGGGCGATGTTGTGAAAACGTATTCCTAAAATTTGAGTATTTTGAATGAAAAACGAAAAGAATTTTATTTTGATTTAAAACTTATATGTACGTTTTTCGAGCATTAATCTTGCTAGAAAAGGGGAAATATTAAAGAAGCCAGGTTAGTGTTCACCATGCGTGAGATAGATATTATGCCTGCTTCATAAATCCGCCTAAGATTTTTATTATGAAAATATTTTAAAATCTTTTAAAATTTTAGAATATATATATATATATATATATATTGTTCCAATAACTTGGACAGATTTTAAATGTGAATTAAGTTTAAGCGTTTAATGATTTTTTTCTTTTTCTTTCAGATTTAGCGGACATTTGGGCGATATTATTTTTCACACAAAATTGGCCTGACTTAAATAATATGATCCAATAGAGAAATAAATAAATTTTCACCAATTACACTGATTTATTTACTGCTGACTTTGATCCTTCTTAATGAAACACCCTTATATATAATCCGTCTTAATGAATCACCCTTTATATATATATATATGTATATATATATATGTGTGTGTGTGTGTGTGTGCATATGTATGTGTGTGTGTGTGTGTGTGTGTGTATAAAATGAAAATAAAAAAGACAAATGAAAACTACAGACAAAAGTTCATTTTTCTCCATCAAGACATTCATTTCTGTAGTTCACTGCTACTAACAAGCAGAAAATTTTTTCTCCTGATGATGGCCATGCTGGCCAAAACTAGTCGAGGTATCTAACTGAAATAATAAAAACGAAAGAATATTAATATACAACCCAGTGTGTCAGAAGATTTTAATTTTTTTAATATTTTTTATTGTTCAAAACACACACACACGCACAGACACACACATATAAATATATGATAAAAATATAGTTTTAAGGTATGCTATATTTATGAGTTAAAGTGCTCAGTATCAGAAATAGAGCGTATGTAAATATTAATTGTTGACATGGGCGTCAACACCTAGCGACGACAGTCTGTTTCATGCTTAAAGGCAATCTTCAGGGCATGTTTTTTGCTCAACTATTTATGTATATTGACCAGTGATGACTTATGGGTAGGTCTATTGTTCTAACAGTTATTACGTGGTCGGTAACAGTTATGTTTCAAAGTATTCTAGGGGTTCTTGAGTGGAAATAATTGTGGATCTGAATGCAGGTTTATTGGTATTTTATAGTGTAGCTTGTTAGATTTATAATTTATTGATTGTTATTTGTTGCTGGTTGATATTATTTCGTTTACTTTTGTTTATGTTTGCATTCGTAGTTTGATGACTTGTTTATTAATTACTTTATTTATTTATTTATCGATTTGGATTAATTTATTATAATTATTTATAAATTTTTTGTTCGTTTTTAGTTTTAAATCTCCTGAAAAAATTATTTCGGTTGAGTTCTCTCTGGGGAGGAAGTGTAAGTTTATAAACAGTGACTGTTACTGCTCATTATGCAAGACTCTTCGGTAAAGCGAATCGAGTTCTCTCAGTAATTGTGCGTTTATCTAAAAATAAATACACTTAAATTTACCTTCATCCCTGCTGTACGCCAACGGCTTAGGGATAGAATCTCCGACTGACGCCAATTCAGCCGGCTTTCGATCCTAACTAGAGGCAACCAGACGTCTAGCCACACTGATGAGCTGTGATACAGCGAAACAATCTGTCTGTAGAAGACAATATATATATGAAGGTGGCCTGACGATTGCATATAGCATGAAACAGACTGTCGCCTCTAAGTGTTGACTTCAATGTTCACTTATATATATATATATATATATGTTGTTTCTTGGGGAATGTACTGATGAATGTACAAACGAAAGAAAAAACACTTTATTTAATTTAAATGCATTTTTATTAATCAAAATAATCTCCATTTCGTTCTTCGCTTTTCTTTAATCATAATTTTAAGCTTCTTATCACATTATTAAAAACTTATCGCCTTTTGCTTGAACAAAATTTTGAAATGTTTCGACAACTTTTTTGTTATCAGAGAAATTTCTCTTCTGAAAGCGTTTAAATAATAATCTGGCGAATAAAGTGGTTGCTCGAAAATCTTATAACTTCTTTTGAACAGCGTACAGTTAAGTGCAAGGGCGTCCATTGTCATAGAGAAGTACTGGTCTGTCTCTATTTACTGCCTAAGCTGTTTCAGTTTCGACATGGGGGATATTCAAATTTCTGAAATTTTAAGTTTCGACCTGGGAGATGTTCCAAGTTCTCCTGAATGTTTCAGTTTTAATTTAGGAGATGTTCCAAGTTCTGAAATTTTAAGTTTCGACCTGGGAGATGGTTCATGCTCTCCTGAACGTTTCAATTTCGAGCTGGGAGATGTTCCAAGTTCTGAAATTTTAAGTTTCGACCTGGGAGATGGTTCATGCTCTCCTGAACGTTTCAATTTCGAGCTGGGAGATGTTCCAAGTTCTGAAATTTTAAGTTTCGACCTGGGAGATGGTTCATGCTCTCCTGAACGTTTCAATTTCGAGCTGGGAGATGTTCCAAGTTCTGAAATTTTAAGTTTCGACCTGGGAGATGGTTCATGCTCTCCTGAACGTTTCAATTTCGAGCTGGGAGATGTTCCAAGTTCTGAAATTTTAAGTTTCGACCTGGGAGATGGTTCATGCTCTCCTGAACGTTTCAATTTCGAGCTGGGAGATGTTCCAAGTTCTGAAATTTTAAGTTTCGACCTGGGAGATGGTTCATGCTCTCCTGAACGTTTCAATTTCGAGCTGGGAGATGCTCCAAGTTCTCCTGAAATTTTAAGTTTCAACCTGAGAAATGTTCCATGTTCTCTTGAAATTTTAAGTTTCGACCTGGGAGAAGTTCCAAGTTTTCCTGAAAGTTTCAGTTTCGACCTGGGAGATGATCCGAGTTTTCCTGAAGGTTTTTGACAGTTGTTTTTGAATTCTGTCCAACCAATGCTTTCAATTGATAGTTTTGTTTTTTCATGATTGCTTATGGTTCTTCTCTTGATTCATTTTCAATATTTTTCGACATCTAAACGAAATTTCTGAAACCATACCGTTATACTTTTGACATTAGCAATAAAAACTGCAAAATGCCAACAAAGTAAAATTGAGATTTTGAGACCTCGTCTTTAATTGTTTTCATTTCCAAAGGATAATATTTTTCATAAAAACAACTTTCTGAAAATAATATAGCAAAGAAATCAATAAGAAGCAAGGCTATAAAATTTCATCATACTTTGAGCAAAGACGGAAGAAAAATACATTTCATATGTGATTATCTATCTATCTATCTATCTATCTATCTATCTATCTATCTATCTATCTATTTCAGTCTTTGTTCATATCTATCTATCCATATATCTATCTTTCTATCTACCTATCTATTTCAGTCTTTGTTCATATCTATCTATTTATCTATCTATCTATCTCAGTCTTTGTTCATATCTATCTATCTATCTATCTATCTATCTATCTATCTATTTCAGTCTTTGTTCATATCTATCTATCTATCTATCTATCTATCTATCTATCTATCTATCTATTTCAGTCTTTGTTCATATCTATCTATCTATCTATCTATCTATCTATCTATCTATCTATCTAGCTATCTATCTAAGTTTTGTTCATATCTATCTATTATGTTTTGCATTAATCTTGTATATATATATATATATATATATATATATATATATATATATATATATATATATATATATCAAATGTAAAAGAACGGAGAGTAAGATTTCAGCGTTCAAAACATTAATTTAAAACAGGGCTCAATATACAAGTAGAGCAATAAATATTTATTATGCAGTGTTACATTAGAACATGTACATACCCACTACAAAACTGTACATCTTGTTTCAACGGTGGGAAATCACGATGCTACTACTAGTAGCATCGTGATTTCTCATCTGATGAAACATTAAAAATATTTGTTAACGTTGGAACAAGATGTACAGTTTTGTGGTGGGTATGTGCATGTTCTAATGTAACACTGCATAATATTCTAGTTAAAACGAAAATGTATAGAAAGTGCTTTAATCGCTAAATCATCCCCAGTAAATTTACATTCACATTTTTCCGACCTTTTGTGGCAGATCTTCTATAATCACAATGTGGGATATTTAATAATAAAAGTAAAACCATAAACAAAGACAGAAATATATTGAATTAAATTAGCTAGAATATGTACCCAAATACATATTAAAAACAAATAAATTTTACCCCTTCCCCCGGCGTACACGTGCGTATAGTTTTTTTTTAAAAACCGAACGTGTCTTTTTCAGACAAGGACGAATAAACACGTCCAAAACATACCGTTCAAAATACTACAGACATGTTTATACATCGATCTTGTCAACTCATAAGTCTGATAGAGGTGTTAGCCATCCCTAGGGTACTTCAAGCTGCCTCAGTTTCTTATTAAAACCAAATAAAAAAATTCGCCTGAAAATGAAACGTTTTTCCCAAAGTGATTGGCCGGGTTAAACGTTTAAAATTTCAGCGTCCCCTTCTCTTATGTGCATGTGCAACTTTTTCTTTCTTTCTTTTCTTTTTTTTTTTTTTAACAGTGATGTTCACCCTGTACAAAGCACAGGGTCTACTCGGGTTACAGAATAGAAGGCAGTTTAAGCAAAGAAAATAACAACTTGAACAGACTAAGATTGTAGTGATCGGGGATATATACTCTTGCGAGTCATGGAAAACGGGAAAGGGATTTATTCAACTTCTACAGCAACATCACCCCGAGGGAACTGGAGACCCTACCAGGATTTCTTATCGGTGGGTGTAATCTGTTATGATTAAGCCCACCGATATAATACTTACCTCGCCCAGGGATCCGTCCCTGTGCTGGTGGTATCATGACTACGACTAGCTTGGACCGGCTCTGACCAGCTATAACAAGCCAAGACCAACTACACCTAGCTCAGACCAGCTTGGACAAGCTATGACCAGCTAAGACCAGTTTGGACAAGCGACCTGAGTGAAAACACTCCGGTCCTCACGTTAAAAACTGACCTTGTGTCACAACCTGACTAAGTGGGGCGGGGTCAAGTAAATATACTTAAGCCCACCGATATAAGATGACACTGTGTTGATGGCCGACTCAGAATGGAAACTACAAGGTATTTTTTAAATTTTATTTTCATAATCATGTTCCCTTGTACAAGGCACAAGAGCCACTCGAGGTAGTGGTAACGGTTAACTCTAGACTTGAATAGGTTAAGATTGTAGTGATGGCAGAAAATGAATTAGGGAGGTACACAAAAAAAGGGCGTGCCACAAGCATGTGTCTTCTCCCCAGATTTATTCAACGTCTACAGCGACGCTATCCGAAGGAAACTGGGGACCATAAAAGGATTTATTACAGACGGGCTTAATCTTAACAATATATGCTGATGGGATTGTGTTGATAGTCAACCCCGAATAAAAATTGCAGGACATTCTAGACAGGGTGTTTTTTAATTTTGTTTCAGAATGATGTTCATCATGTACAAGCCCCAAGAGCCACTCGAGGTAGAGGGTTACAAAGTAAGAGGTACCGTTTAAAGGGATATGTGGAGAAGATACTGTTTAACACTAGTCTTGAACAGGTTAATATTGTAGAAGAAAGACAGAAAAAAGGACTAACCGTGAACTGCAAGAAGACAGAAATTATGGTAATTAGTAAGATAAAAAAAACCCCCAAAAAACAAGATGCAAGTTACTAAATGGAGAGATAGGTATCAAGCAGGTGTAGTAGTTCAAATATCTGGGAAGCGTTTTAACAAAGGATGGAAAATGCGACACCGAGATCCGAACAGTGAGGACATTCGAAAAAGCTAAGAAAGGGTGCTGAGAAATGGGGAAAAATCGTTAGAAACAAAGAAAAGTGGGCTGGATTAACAGTGGAAAATTTTCCCAAAAATGAAATGTGGCAACAGAAACGGGATTATATATAGGCGGATATTCAGAATTTCATGGCCGGAGCGAATAAGCAACAAGAATATATGGTACGCAGACGATGAAGCGAATATATGGTACGCAGATGATGAAGCGAATATATGGTACGCAGATGATGAAGCGAATAAGCAACGAGAATATATGGTACGAAGATGACGAAGCGAATATATGGTACGTAGATGACGAAGCGAATATATGGTACGTAGATGACGAAGCGAATATATGGTATGCAGATGACGAAGCGAATATATGGTACGCAGATGACGAAGCGAATATATGGTACGCAGATGACGAAGCGAATAAGCAACGAGAATATATGGTACGAAGATGACGAAGCGAATATATGGTATGCAGATGACGAAGCGAATATATGGTACGTAGATGACGAAGCGAATATATGGTATGCAGATGACGAAGCAAATATATGGTACGTAGATGACGAAGCGAATATATGGTATGCAGATGACGAAGCGAATATATGGTATGCAGATGACAGAAGCGAATATATGGTACGCAGATGACGAAGGAATATATGGTATGCAGATGACGAAGCGAATAAGCAACGAGAATATATGGTACGCAAATGACACTCCATTGATTGTTTGGCAACTCGAGAAAGTAACTACAGAACATTCAAAACAGGAGTTTTATCCAATGACCAAGATCAAATCGAAGTACAGGGTTACAGAGTAAGAGGCACAGTTTATGGTTATATTTGTGACCGATCATTTAACTTTATATATATATATATATATATATATATATATATATATATATATATATATATATATATATAACTGTAGACTGTTCATTGACGGAATTCTATCTGATGTACAGTTTTTGGATTACAATTGAAGAAACATTAAGTAAAAAAGAGTAACTGTTTCTTTTTGATTAGACATTTCTCAAGACTTGCATGAATAAAAATCTGTTTTCTCAATATTCTTCTTCTATGTGCGATGTCTCTTCACGAAATTAGAGGTAACAGCTCTCCACAATTTCCTACCCTTTGTAGCTCTTTATAAATTTTGTCCTTTTGTTACCTCTCTTAAACCGTGCTCTACCATCCATCTAACCAACTTACTCGCTAATTAGTTTATGTTGATTTTCTCTGTCCCTCTTGTATTCAATCTGTCCTGTGAGTATCAAATTTTCCAAGCCCTCTTCTACTCAATTCGTGCTCTAGAAATTTCAACCGTATCTCTTTGATAATAAGTATAAGCGTCATTTTTGGTAAAATTTACTCTATATATTATTTTAATATCCCTCCCAAACATGTCAAGGTTATTTCGTAGTGTCAGTGGTTCTTAGGGACGTACAGTGCTTTTCGATAAAAGTGACTCATCTGATTTTTTTTACTAAAAATATTTTTTGTCTATTGTTTTGGGGGTTAAAATAATTTTGAATCTTACTAATATAAATACCCCTTCAAGACCACATAGGAAAATAGTTTATTCACCCTAAGGTATTCAGTTGATAATTATAAATTTGAATATAAATGAGATTCAGGAAAAAAATCTCTGTGCAAAAAAAGTGACTCAGATATCGCATTCTAATGATTAAACTGGTAAATTTAAAGAGCTTTTGACAAAATATTGAAAATTGTTTTACAATACACTCAGAAAATATTCTAGAGAATTCTAGAACAGCTTAAATCAAATCTAGAGTATTCCAGAATATTCCAGAAAGCCTCATACAGTATAAAAACAGCTTGAAGTCACTAACAGGATGAAAGGGCATAAACATGCATCAGAACCACTTAAGGCAGGGGTTTTCAAACTGTGTTCCGCGGACCACAGGGGGTCCGCAAGGACAAGATAGGGGGTCCGTGGACAGCAAAAACGTAAGTGCCTATAAGTAACTTATAGGCCGATCATGAAATAAATTGATTCAATAAACTATTTCATAGCTTTGATATACTAATATAATTTGTATCTTAAATTGATAAAGATAATGGATTCTATTCATGCAGAGAAGGAACCAAAGGATTTGAATTTTGGATCTATTTTGCGATTTCCGGCTTTCTCATTGGCTGTTAGGCGTTTGCATTAATGCAAAATTATATGTTATATTCAGCAAATATTTATGTATAAATTTCATAAGCGTTTATAAGGGGGTCCCTAAAGTAAAGTCTGAAATATAAAGGGGTCCGCAAGTCAAAAAGTTTGAAAAACCCTGACTTAAGGCATCTATTATTGCCCTCCCAAAAGCAGGCAAGTCTATGAGAGAAATTGCAGAAATTGCTATAACCTCGCAATCAACTATCTCTCGAGTGCTTACGGCACATAATGATGCCACTCCTGCTCCAAGGAAGGAAACAAGGGATCGAAAGAAAAAGATTGATGATAGAACTAGCAGGGTAATCAAGAGAGAAGTTGCGAAGAATAGGTCTATAATTAGCCAAGAAATTGCAGCCAGTCTAAGCGAAGAGCAAGGTGTTAGTCTTGCCTTTTCAGCAGTCAGTCGGTGTCTGTTAGAACAGGGCTACAAATCTTGTACACGAAGGTTTAAGCCGCTAATAAGCAAAGCCAACAAAGCCAAGAGACTTGAATGGGCTTACTATTACAAATATTTCACCGTAGAAGACTGGAAGAATGTTCCCTTCTCCGATGAAACGAAAGTTGAGTTAAATTCAAAGGATAAAGTGAGTCACTTTTATCGAACAGCACTGTACTTCATCAAACGCCTTTGCATAATCTATAAAACACAAGTACACGCACTTTTGCATCTGTATTGCTTTTTCTGGTAACATTCTGTGCATAAATATATCGCGTTCTTTGTTCCACTTTGACGAATCTGGTCCGTTTTTTTTTGTCTATTTTCGTTACGATTCTATGCACTGTCTATTCATAAAAAAGCTTCGTTAGAGGATCAAGATATGGGTCATTAGGCTTATTGTCTGGCGGAGTTCACATTACGTTAATCAAATGCGAGCGCGCGTGCGGGCACACACGCATGCATATATATATATATGCATATATGTAGGTATAAGTCTAGATAAATGAAATAACTAGATATTAGCGAACGTATACGCGCGTGCTGACGTGCATACGTTGGTAAGCAAATAAATGATTACCAAATTTACCCAAGAGGTGTAGACGTCATAGTGCCTAATGTGATTAGGCACATTAGAGCTAAGAAATACATGTTAATAAATACACATATACCTACGTTTGGTGTGCGACTTTAGTTTCGTTGGTAACCCAACTCGTCGGGCACAAGATATAGCTTACTGTTTATTTAAAAAGGATAAACAATAAGCTATATTTTGTGCCCAACGGGTTAGCTATAGTTAACCGAAACTCTCATTTGTGGCTAAATCGGTAAAGCACGTCAGGGTATATGAAGGTTCCGTATAGGATACAGGTTCGATTCTTGTCAGAGGACGCATATTTTCTATGAAAATTTCTCTACAGTCACTTTCTCACAGACGCGCCGTCGCCTCTATCTGTCTTTTTTACAAATACTTTCATGCTAATTGCTCCGAGGAGCTGCTTTCACTGGTTCCCAGACTCCATGAATTCAAGCGCCCTACGAGGTTGGCATCCCGCTCTCACCCCTTCACTGTCGAAACTCCTAAATGTAGCCGTCTCTTCTACTCTAATAGCTTCATACCTCGCACCTTTCGCCTGTGGAACTCCCTTCCCTATTCCAGTTTCCCTGAGAGCTATAATCTCCAACTATTCAAATGTAATGTCAATCGACATCTCCAGTTGTCTTGATCTATCGACTATCCTTCTCCTCATCCTTTCCTCTATCACTCCTATCTGATCTTGCTACAAATCTTCTGTAACCCCTTGCGTTCTAGTGGCTTCTCGCCTTGCTTAGGTGAAACGCTAATATATATATATATATATATATATATATATATATATATATATATATATATATATATAAAGTGCTCAATATCAGGGAAAGATCGTATGTGAATATAAAAGTGGACATTGAAGTCAACACCCATAGGCGACAAGCATGAAACAGTCTTCTCGCCGGACATATATATATAAGCACATATACATATACGCACATATACGGAGGTGACCTGAGCGTCCACTTTTATCTATCTATCTATCTATCTATCTATCTATCTATCTATCTATCTATCTATCTATCTATCGAATATGATAAAAAGATATACATATACGCACATATACGGAGGTGACCTGAGCATCCACTTTTATCTATCTATCTATCTATCTATCTATCTATCTATCTATCTATCTATCTATCTATCTACGGATATGATAAAAGATATACATATATAATTGAACGTATATATATATATATATATATATATATATATATATATATATATATATATATACACACATATATATATATTCTTCAGATATAAATACAGTGCTCCATGTTAGATAACAGAGTCATTGAGTATATATATATATTCACTAATCTCTTTGTCTCTGTCTGTTTGTCTGTCTGTCTGTCTGTCTCTTTATTATATATATATATATATATATATATATATATATATATAAAAGTGAACATAGAAGTCAACACTTAGAGGCGACAGTCTCTTTCATGCTATATGCAATCGTCGTGGCCTGACGATTGCATCTAGCATGCATCTAGCATGAAACAGACTGTCGCCTCTAAGTGTTGACTTATATGTTCACTATTATATTTACACACGCTCTATCTCTGATATTGAGCACTTTATCCCATAAATATAGCACATCTTTAGACTATATTTCTTCATATATATATATACATACGTGACCTGACGATTGCATCTAGCATGAAACAGACTGTCGCCTCTAAGTGTTGACTTCTATGTTCACTTTTATATTTACACACGCTCTACTCTGATATTGAGCACTTTATCCCATAAATATAGCACATCTTTAGACTATATTTCTTCATATATATATATATATATATATATATATATATATATATATATATATATATATAGGTGTGTGTTTCTATATTCGGTCATCAGTTGTATGTTGAAATTCGTTATTCGAGGATAGAGTGAAAAATGAAATTTGGTAAAACATTATTTACTAGAGCAAAAGCAAGAAATTTCAGTTACAGAAATTTATGCCAATTCTTTTTCTGTGTTTCTTACAAAGAAACTAAAAAAAAAAAAAGAAAAAATAGGAAAAAGACAAGGAAACGGAGAAGAACAAATCACGGTTTTGTCATTATTATTTAAAAATAAAGTTATTTTTTTATGTTCAGTCTTGAATGGAATCTCCCTAGCGAATATTTACTAAATTTCAGACAAAGACGACGTAATCCGCGATAAAACAGAATTTCATTGGTGTTTACATTCTTCACGGCTAAAATGTTGAGAAATAGAAATGAAAAGGAATATATCTGCAATTCTGTTTTCAGTTTGTTTTTCTCATTTAATAATTATCATTTTATATATATATATATATATATATATATATATATATATATATATATATATATATATAGGTTAAATGTCATCTGCCACAGATAGAACCATAAACTGTGCCTCTTATTCTGTAACCCTTTACTTCGATTTGCTCTTGGGCATTAGATAAAACTCCCTGTTTGGAAGGTTCGGTAGTTACTTCCTCCAGTTGCCATCCCATCAATGTAGTGTCATCTGCGTACCATATATTCTTCTTGCTTATCCGCTTCGTCATCTGCGTACCATATATTCGCTTCATCATCTACATAGCATATATTCTCGTCGCTTATTCGCTTCATCATCTGCATACCATATATTCGCTTCTCCATCTACGTACCATATATTCTTGTCGGTTATTCGCTTCATTATCTACGTAACATATATTCGCTACATCATCTACGTACCATATATTCACTTCGTCATCTGCGTGCCATATATTTTGGTCGCTAATTCGCTTCGTCATCTGCGTACCTTATTTTCGCTTCGTCATCTGCGTACCATATATTCTGGTTGCTTATTCACTTCGTCATCTGCGTACCATATATTCTCGTTGCTTATTCGCTTCATCATCTGCGTACCTTATTTTCGCTTCGTCATCTGCGTACCATATATTCGCTTCATCATCTGCGTACCATAATTCGCTTTATCATCTGCGTACCATATATTTTCGTTGCTTATTGGCTTCGTCATATGCGTACCATATATTCTCTTCATCATCTACGTAATATATATTCACGTTGATTATTCGCTTCATCATCTGCGTACCATAATTCGCTCCATCATCTGCGTACCATATATTCTCGTTGCTTATTCGCTTCATCATCTGCGTATCATCTATTCGCTTCATCATCTGCGTACCATATATTCGCTTCGTCATCTGCGTACCATATATTCTCGCTGCTTATTCGCTTCGTCATCTGCGTACCATATATTCGCTACGTCATCTGCGTACCATATATTGTCAATACATTCTCGTTGCTTATTCGCTTCGTCCATGAAATTCTGAATATCCGCCTATAATAATTAAGAGTATATATATATATATATATATATATATATATATATAAATACCAGATGTAACAGTAAAATTTTTCATACCATGTAATAGCATCATTATCCATCGCACAAAATGTTTAATATCTAAAAAACAAAACAAAAAAACAAAAAACACTAAAATAATTCACTTTCTTTTTTCTAGGTTTTCAGACAAGGCATTTAGACATATTGGCATTGTCTGTCGTAAGAATCACTGAAAATGCTTTCGAGTTGTTCAGCTAAAAAGGAGCAGGTTAAAATTGCTTTGTGTCAGACCCGATGTCTTTCAAACTGAGCAATGGTGAGAGGAAAAAGATCATTCAAGCCTACAGTAATGGTACCAACATTCATACTCAATTCAAAGTCGATTTAAGAACAGTCAAGACAACGGTGAAAAATTTTAATAAAAGATGGAACAGCAGAGAGGAAAACTGAATCAGGATGTCACAACAGCAAGAGGGATCATCATTTCAACTTCGAGCTAAAACGATCAATTAGAAAAGATCCAACTCAATTCATTAGACGTTTGGCTCGTGAAAGAGGAGTTTTAGCTATGAGAGTCCAAAGAGCAGTGAAAAAAAAGACTTGAAAATGAAATCGTACTTGAAACCTGTGAAGTACCTTGTTACTCTAAGACAGAAGGTTAAAACGTTAGATGGGGCAAAAATCTTCTTGTATAAGTTGTAAAATGATCCTTATATATATATATATATATATATATATATATATATATGCGCGACATGTCAAAATAGATAACATGTGTTCCCTCTACAAATATGGAATCGGCTATTTCTCAACACCTAGGATATAGCCTGTACAAAAGAGTGGTTCCAAATTATTCACATAGTTGGTTCCAACAATCATTTGAAGATTTTGGAATCAATCTGTATAGGATTACGGAAGCCTTCTCTTTGCCGGCGGAATGACTTTGTCCCTTAATTTGTTGGGGATGTTTTTTTTAACTGTCCCTCGCTAATTATTATTTCTCCCCTCGTTATAAGTATTTGATGTTATTGATTTTAGCCTGTTCCCCACTTTTTTTGGCTCTTCATTTTTGTTGTTCTTTTCGTTTAATTTATCCAATGATTTTCTCCTGATGAGATGTTGAACGAATGACCTTAGCGACTATTACCATTAACATATATATATATATAAGTAATTCATTGAGTCTGAAAGTAACCTCAACAGAGAACACTGGACGGCCGTTTCGTCCTATATTTGGGACTCATCATCCACTACCGAGAATTGAAACCCTGACAGTTAGGTTGTCAAGCGAACATCATACCAACTGTTCCAAATGGGCTTCAGTGACGAAGAGATTCCAAATCAGACTCAACTTAGCGCCGCTCGCTCACATATTCCGTGGCGGAACTCGACTGAGTTCTCTGTAACCATAGGACTGTGCCCCCTGGAGCCACGACTACTCTCACCAAGCCGCTCACTCTAGAGCATTAGAAGCCGGTTCAAGCAATGATGTACATGATAGAAATTATTAGGAGGATTTGATAATTATATTTAAGTAATTCATCGAGTCTGAAACCTGCTTGACAACCTAACTGTCAGGGTTTCAATTCTCGGTAGTGGATTCGGACTGCTGATGAGTCCCAAATATAGGACGAAACAGCCGTCCAGTGCTTTCTGCATTCTGTTGAGGTTTCTTTCAGACTCGATGAATTACTTAAATATAATTATCAAATCCTCCTAATAATTTCTCTCTCTCTTTCTATATATATATATATATATATATATATATATTTGAACTATTTCAATACTTCATGAGCTTCCGATCCTTAGCTATGTGGAGCCGACTCTCAATAGGATGTTTCCCTGATTACGACAATCTTAACCTATTCAAGGCTAGGGTTATGTATATAGGATTTGAAAAACACTCCAATACATATGAATGGCCTCTTAACTTAACCCTCTACCTCGAGTGGCCTCAGGGTCTTGTAAAGATTGAACCATACTGTAAAAAAGTATGTATATGTTTTTTTTTTGTTTCCATATTCTTTAAGACTAATCTTTCAGTACCTGACTATATTTCTGAGATGAGGTATTATTTACACTATTTACATTGCTCGGACTAACGTCCTAATCTTTGTTGTCATATTTATCACAACGTTTCGACCGTTGTACGCTCCGGCTTTCTTCAGGTGGTTGGAATGTCGAACTGAACCCTTTATTTCGCTCACTGGTATAGACTGTTCTAGTTCCACGTGCCATGTTTGATGGATGTCAGTTATCAGTTATCTCCTGTTAATTCCCCTCTCCAAGTTATCCACTGCCTTAACCAGATATTGAACTCACAACTCTTTGGGTCCTGTCACTGGATCTAACCAACGCCTTTATCCACTGTGCCATGTGTGCTTAAAAAACTTATGAGACTAATCTTTGCTTACATCTGCAGTCCATGTTCAGTATGTTCTTTTGTAGAACGATATTTCTGTTGCTCAAAAATCTCTTCTTCATCTGTAATGAGTATTCGTTGCCATATAGGAGGACATATATTACATAGCAGTTCAATAACCAAGGAGAAGTGGGGATCCCAGCAGAACGCGCCGTCTGTGGTCCGTCCTGTGAGCAACACTGGGCGAGTGTCTTTGTGTTGAAAACCATAAAACATTGACAAATCCGGCTATACAATTAGCTTCAGGAACAAGGTTATCCCAGATTTTATTTTTATTTTTAGCGTCGTGCGTGATTGACTGTTGGCCCTGAATTGAAACTGAGATTGACTCCCCCGTCCGAGCAGCTCAGCCACAATGCGGTACCACATGGCTTCTTGCGATTCTAATTTTGCCCGATTCTTTCCCCTCCATCCTGCCTGCCGGGAGTAATAATCCCGTCCCACCATCACATCCTCGCGAGAATCATTAGTGGAGATAAAATAAAGTGTTTGTTTATCCTTCCTTTTTTTTACTTTTTGATTTTCTTTCTTGTCAATCTTGCGTGATCCTAGCATCCATCCTGCAATGATGGTTTCTTAGTTAATACCGTTTCTATCTATCTATCTATCTATCTATCTATCTATCTATCTATCTATCTATCTATCTACGGTTTCTATCTATCTATCTATCTATCTATCTATCTATCTATCTATCTATCTATCTATCTATCTATCATCTATCTATCTATCTATCTGTTGAGGGGTTCTCCCTTTTTTACACAAATAGACTCACCCAGTATATACATATACTACGGCTACGTGAAGACGAGAGTAAGACGGGAGTAAGACCGATGAGTCGAGTCGAGTCCAGAGTGACAGAGTAAAAGGTTGCAGGTAACCGGAAGAGTGAGGGTGAGGTAACAGCGTTGTAGGAGTCACGGTGAGCGAGCACGTAGACTCAGTAAGAAGTCATACAGCGATACTTCAATACCAAAGACTGTATATATTTTGCTACTAACCCGTATTCCTGAACTACTAACCTGCTTTTATCAGTTTGTATTATTACGTTAATAATATTTTCAGATATTCATTCCTTATGTTTGTTATTTATTGGTACCGGATTTCATCCCGGAATCCACAACAATATCTATCTATCTATCTATCTATCTATCTATCTATCTATCTATCTATCTATCTATCTATCTATCTATCCTTGCCGTGTGTTTCTATCTCTGGCTTACGGCCATATCAGTTTAAAAAACCGGTCCTCGTAGGATCACCGCATTTAAGCAATACCAAGCCTGGCCAGTAACTAGATGGGTGACCGCTTGAAAACATCAGGTGCTGTAAACTTGGACGTGCGGCTGGTGTAAGAGATAACGATTTGGAATTGGAAATCAGAGAGCAGAGTTTCAATTCCATTGGGGTTCTTTATATTCACGTATGAGAAAATACACTTAGGAAGGATTTGAATTCACCGCTTCTCTCCCCAGCTATGGGTTAATTAGAGGGTTATTTATTCAATGTATGTTTTCTATGTAAATTCTTTTCTCTTCTACTTTGTCTGGCCTTTATTGGGTCGTAATTGTGGCCAGATGGCACACAGTGAACACACAGGCACACGCTGACACACACATATAGCCGAGAAAAAAAGACAACACACGTGGCCTGACGATTGCGTCTAGCATGAAACAGCCTGTCGCCTCTAAGTGAAAAGGAAAGTAAAAGATAACTTTAATGTAATGACTTTGTTTCATTAAAAATTGTAGAAATCTAAACAGTGACACAGGAGAGGAAGTTTAGTGTAACAGAAGAAATACGTGGGTTTCATTTTATTAACCAATTAAACAGAGATCCATTTCAAGCTCTGGCTTTTTAGTTCTTTAGAATTAGAGGTAAATTTTTTTCGTTTTTTTTTATTTAAATAATTAATTAATTTTTTTAATCATTTTACTCCAAGCAAAGCGGGAATGCTACTAATACCTCGAACCTTACAGGGAGTGAAAGTGAGAGAAAAGACTGAGTCTAGGGAGAATTGAGGAAAGGACAAAAAGATAAACTGGATTCAAGAATATAGATGCTGGTGGTTGACGTTGCATTTAAATTTTCGAAAATTGTAGTTTTTCAGGGAAGCAAGTATATGGAAAGGAGTTCCACAGGTGGGAAGTGCATGGAAAGGAACTGTTGGAGTAGAAGAGGCGGTTGCATTTAACTATTTCAACAGTAAAAGGGTGTGGCCTAGATGTCAATCTAGTAGCACGCTTAAATTCATGTAAAAAACGCAGGGATAAAAGCTCGTCAGGACAGTTGCCATGAAAATATTTGTAGAAAAGACAGAGGGAAGCCACATCGCGTCGGCGAGAAAGTGACTGAAGTCGAGATGCCAAGTCAGGTTCGATTGTTGATCCTTCTTTGGATTTTGTCAAAAACCTCGAGATGAGTAGCACCAGACCAGATATGGCAACAGTATTCAATGCTCGGGCGAATGGTAGATTTTTAAATGTTCAAGATGGACTTGGAGGAGAAAAAAGTTTGGCACGATACAATGAACCAGCTTTCGTTTTCCTTCGTGTTAAAAAAGATTTTTCTTTTGACAGCACTCGATCGATTTTTTTTTTTTTACCTGGTTTTTGGAACACCTCATGCCGGCCACACGAAAGCATTTGCGAAAGGATTTACTGGCATTTTCAAAAACGTTCTGCTACTTGGGAATGTTACATATCTTTGGACCGAAGAATCTTCCAGTGGGACGAAAATATATTTATTTCAAATGCCAAAACACATCCCACCCCTGATAGCAGTCTTGATAAGAAGTCGTGTTTATGTTGAGGATTTATTTTAATACCAATCTATTCATGGCGAAGGAATTAATATATTACATATATATTTCGAGCAAAACTTCAAAAAGTTCATATATTCATGCTTGTATGAGGAATTACGACTGAGTAGTGAGTTCGATCCTCACTGGCTGCCCTACACTTTTGGCCTTGTGCCACATCTTAGCTACGCTTAGAAATTCATGTGAGCATTTCGACATAGTGTAATGGTTAGCACGCTTGTCTTGCAAGATCAATTGAATAGTGATTTCGATTCTCAATGGGTGCCAGATAATTTTGGCCTTGTGTCACATCTATGTTACGCTTAAAAAATCACCATACATGTATGAGGATTATAGGCATGGTGGAGTAATGGTTAGTGGCACTGGTTGAGCAATTGGAGAGCCGGGTTCGAATTCCAGTTGGTTTCTTTACATTCACTTACGTGCAAGTACCCTTGGGAAAGGTATGAATCCCTATTTACTTCTAAGTAGCTATAGGAAAACAGCAGGACGACCTAGGTTCTGTAGCCTTGGATATCAACAAGTCTAGGAGAAAAACAACTCTGAAATGAAAATTGAGTTAAATAATGTGCAATTGCCCAAGCGTGGTGAATATGGCTGTACCGTAAAGACATGGTTAGTCAGGGAGAGTTTGCTCCGAGGATTGAAGCGGCTCTAGAACTGGATCTATAGATTTTTTTAAAAGTTGGCCCGTCTGCTTTTTTTATTTATAATTTTAATATGGACCTGTACAAAGGGTAGAAACATATAAGATCCTTAGAAATCTATTAGAATCTTTGGAACTACGTAAATGGGCTGGTCCGCTCGTAACAGATAAAAGGATATTGTATTTTTAACTATTTCTTTTAATTAACATTCATTAAACCTTCTTAAAGCCATATAGTCAAAATCGAAGAATATTGATTTAAAAAATAATTTTATATTTAATATTGATTTTTTAAAAATCATTCAGAATCCATAATATAAATACTATGTTAAGTAGATCATTGACTTCATAAAGGCTTTTATTTTTTGCTTAAAAATGTCACGATCGAAACTGCCCTTACGTGGTTGATAAATGCCCACTTGTTACGAATTACGTTGGTTGTATCCACCTTCCTCTACGGGTGTGAAATTTAGACATTACAGGTTGAGGTAGCGAAAAGAATCCAGGCGTTGTTTGGTTGTCGTCATTGTCATTGTCGTCGTCGTCGTCGTCGTCGTCGTCGTCGTCATCATCATCATTATTATTATTATTATTATTATTATTATTATTATTATTATTATTATTATTATTATTTCCTTTGATTTATGATGTACACACGTTCCCTTTCGGGCCCCAACCAGAGACCTAAGGTCAGAAATGGCGTTATGGCTTTTTCCACTGATCATTTGTGGAAAGAAACAACAAAACCCCTAAAATCACGCACATTTACATAGATAACGATCTTCGTAATGTGTAATATGTACATGTAAGTATATTTTTTTTGTATTTCTTTAAAGCTTAGCCATCCATGTATTCCTTCAATGAGTCTATCTGAACCGTTTCCAATCAATCCGAGGGTTCCAACTACTACTGGAATTACTGATGCCCTCTTGTGCCACATTTTTTTTAGATTTCTACTTCAAGACCGAGCCGCTATCCATTACTCCACTGTGCCTGCGTGGGAGCGACTCTGAAAAACAATTCCAGTTAACAAATCATGTAAAGGAGAGTTTCGAAGCAGTTTTGCTCTTTCCATGGAAAATGCTCTGGCGCGTCACATTCTTTACTTCCTCTAGTTCAGACCTTTACAGCCCAGAATCGTCATGCAACGTACATAGGTTCGAGTCGTCCTAATTGCTTTCATATTCCATTGTTAAGAAGGAGGCTCCACTCAGACAACCGCTTCCTAAGAGCCATTACTTTGGAACACAGACTCCCGAGAGGATGCTTCCTCGATCTCTGCATTATTAACCCCTTCAAATCTATGCTCATCAGTTATTGATCTTTTATATCCTCATAATCGGCACTCCGTACCTCCTCCTCGTGACTACCATAAAAGAACCTTATTCAGTAGCCCTCTACCTTAAGTGGCTCTTCGGCCTTGAATTGGGTCGTGTTGAAACTGCAGGCTCAGAAGATTGATAGTAAAAAACATCTGTGCAGATCTAATGGCAACATGAAATGACCCCAGGCTCACAAAAAAAAAAAAAAAAAAAAAAAATAAATAAATAAAAATAAAGTGTATTTGTTCAGAGTACGATGTGGATTATCTGACTACGATGTGGATTATCTGACTACGATGTAGATGTAGTACGATGTAGATTATCTGATTTTGGTTGGCCGTTAAGCTTGTAACGGCTGGTGAACTTTTTTTTTAAAAAGAAAAAGAAAGAAAAAAGAAAGAAAGAAAAAAAGAAAAGAAAAAAGAAAAGAAGAAAAAAAGAAAAACTAAATCATATCTCTTCGACTTGCCCGGTTTTGGATTGAAGAATTATTACGATATCAACACGTGTCAGATTCTTTAATGTCAAAATCTATACTTTATTGTATTTGCGTCAATAGGTAAACTTTCGGTGTGTTTATACTTGAGATTATATGTTGTATATATTTAGACACTTTAAGAGACAGAAAAAAGGTTTAGTCTTATTATGACCATAAACTACATCCAGTACCAAGGCCTCTGATCGAGAGACTGGAGGTTTTGAGGGGCGAGGTACCACCTCTTAATTGCTGTTGTCCTCAGATCCACCCTAACCCTCGGTGGTATCACCTGTTAGGGTCCCATCTATGAGCAAATAGTGAACACCCTAAACAAAAACATACTATGAAAGTACAGGCATTCATTTTATAGTGAAAATACTAGCAATATATATTTATATAAATAAATTACCAACAACAAATACTTTTAGTAGACTTACCAACAATACATTTTATAGCAAAATGATAAAAAAAAAATTGTATTTGAAGGCATACAATTACGTTCAAAATATGTTTTAAGAAATAAAATTGTATTCAAAATCTTTAGATTTCGGCATTAAATAACTCATAGACGTTGATATGCCGCTAAGCAAAATCAACCAATCAAAAGAACAGAAGAATTTCGTTAGGAACAAGGAAAAGAGTACTGAACTGTTACGTGATATCTGTCCTCCTATGTGGCAGTGAATGCTGGACAATCTCCTCAAAGATAAAAAAGAGACTTTAATTTAAAGAAATGCGGTTCTATAGAAAAATGCTGAGGATACCATGGACCGAACTTGTGAGCCATGATAAAGTCTTCGAGAAACGGAAAGAAAAAAAGGACACTAATACTTAACATCATTTGAGGTAATTGAAAATTTTTAGAGCATGTAACGAAGAAGAAAGGAAGATGCTTGAAAAATTTGCTGCTCACAGGACAGACTGAAGGCAAGATTAGGAGAGATTTAGGGGGGGAGAGGAAAACAG